GCGCGCGACAGAACAAGAACCTTGATCATTTTAGTCGCCTTCCTCTGGACACATTCCAGCTTATCAACATCTCTCTTCAATTATGGTGCCCAGAATTGGACACAGTATTCCAGGTGTAGTCTAACCAAGGCCGAATAGAGGGGTAGCATGACTAGTTGTAATGAAATATGCAAAAACGCCCGAAATACACAACTACAATATTCAGGGCAAGGCTGGATGCCACAGCTTTTGGCCAAACGTGGGTATGATGCCATTGTCAAAAGAGTACAACCGCACAAGTAAGGAAACTTATGTAGACTGACCAGAGGTGGCCCTAGGTAATTTTCAAACAGTATTTTGGCACACACACTCCCCCAACCAATCACTGATATATATTTTCTGTTTGTCGTGGGAGTTTTGTGTGCCATACTTGGTTCAATTCCATCATTGGTGGAGTTCAGAATGCGCTTTGATTGTAGGTGAACTATTTTTTATTTTTTTTTGGTCATGTCAGGAGTGATTGCAAGTCGCTCCTGGTGTGAGAGAATTGGCCGTCTGCAAGGACGTTGCCCAGGGGATGCTTGGATGATTTTGATGTTTTTACATCCTTGTGGGAGGCTTCTCTCATGTCCCCGCATGAGGAGCTGGAGCTGATAGAGGGAGCTCATCCGCCTCTCCCCGGATTCGAACCTGTGACCTGTCGGTCTTCAGTCCTGCCGGCACAGGGGTTTAACCCACTGCACCACCGGGGGCTCCTAGGTGAACTATACATCCCAGTAACTACAACTCGCATATGTCAAGGTCTATTTTCCCCCAAGAGTGCCTCAAGAGCACCCCTGGGCAAAATCAACTGTACTGAACTTAAAGCTGTTGTTGTTGTTAAACTTCTTAGCCCTCCTTGCTTAGTTATTGCATATCTTCCAAATAAATTACACACTATGTAGGAAGATTTGAAAAAGTGTTCTGTTCCTGGTGCGAAAGTGTAAATTCCTGTTTAATTGTGCAGTCTTTACTTTGAAAGGAGTTGTTCTACTCCAGAAACTTTGTTTTGCGGCTCAATTGATGGAGACTCTAGGAGATATTCATTGAACAGCAGGACGGTGATGATGATGACTAAACGACTCTGGCCCAATTTACCTGTCCGAACGTATCCTCCCCTATGAACCATCAAGATTGCTAAGATCGTCTGGAGGGGCCCTACTCTCGATCCCACCGGCCTCACAGGCACGTCTGGTGGGGACGAGGGACAGGGCCTTCTCGGTGGTGGCCCCTCGACTCTGGAACTCCCTTCCACTGGAGATCAGAACTGCCTCTTCTATCTTAACGTTCAGGAAACAGGTGAAAGCTTGGCTTTGGGGATTGGCATTCGATGAATGAGCCATGATCCTGTGATATGGATGGATGATGACAAATAATGACTTTTGATGACGACTGACCACTGTAATTATATATTAATGTTTTAGTGTGATTTAGAATATGATGTTTTAATGACTGTCTGTAATATTGATGTTGGAGACCGGCCTGAGTCCCTCGAACGGAGGTGAGAAGACCGGTATACAAAACTGCTAAATAAATAAATACTGCAAATGCTTACTTTGCATAATGGGTTGAGCCACCCCTGAGACTGATCCAACATTGAGACTTAACGTAAGTCAAAACAAACCCGGCGACATGAACAATGTGGTCAGATTGGCAAAACCTTCCCAGTCCATTAAAGTATGGATCTTTCATCGCAATTCTTTTATGGGATGATTGGAGGGAAAGAACAGAGTTCTGTCAAGCTGTGCCTCTCTACATCTCTTCCCAATAATACCATTTTTAATCGATGCCAAGCCCCAGACTGGTCTTCCTGGATTATTTGGCCAAAACCCAACCCTCTAATGTACAGCTTTTCTTTACAACTGTATCCAAACACGATGGAAACTGGATTTCCCCCACTAAAATCCCAGTAGGTTTGCCTCCGTCTGTTCCTGAGCTGCGGTAATGAAGACAACCCAATGGAAAGTTTCAAATGCCCGCATGACTTCACTGGGAGGCGTGGAGGGGTCTCTCTTTTCCAAATCTGTGGCCAAAGAAAGGGAGCAGGGTACAGTGTTTATCTAGACTCCAGAGGCAGGCTGTGAGCTTGGCAGGGCTCAAAACAGGTCTGCTCCTTCCAAAAGTTCTGCTCCAGTTCAACCACATGTTATGAAGCTGTGCTGCCATGCAACTCACCGAGGAAAGAGCGTTTCCTTCCAGGAAACTTCAGGCCCTGGCTGTGATTTATTACTTTGACTCGGGGGCTCTTTCAGCCAGGGGATTTGGGGCGGCTGGCAAGGCTTTGAGAACTAATATCCATATAGGCTCAAAAGGAGGATTGGAGCCAGATTAATATAGAAGGCATGCTTCCTCCAACCCATAAAGCATTAAGTTATTTTCTGTGCTTCCAAAGGATGATTAGAATCTGCATTTCGGTTAGGACGAGGATCAAAGGAACTGAATTTAATAATGGGTTTCGATTGGGATCCTGTGGGTAGCATACGCATATGTTCCCTTAGGGAAGGAGCAGGACATCTGCACCTCTGTGATTGCATTACGTAGGGATGTACATCTACATCTCTGTGCATACATTGGGTAGGGATGTATGTCTACACCTCTGTGCGTACATTAGGTAGAGATGTACATCTACACCTCTGTGCATACATTAGGTAGGGATGTACGTCTACACCTCTGTGCATACATTAGGTAAGGAAGTACATCTACACCTCTGTGCATGCATTAGGTAGGAATGTACATCTACACCTCTGTGCATACATTAGGTAAGGAAGTACATCTACACCTCTGTGCATGCATTAGGTAGGGATGTACATCTACACATCTGTGCATACATTAGGTAGGGATGTACAGCTACACCTCTGTGCATGCATTAGGTAGGAGTGTACATCTACATCTCTGTGCATACATTAGGTAGGGATGTACATCTACACCTCTGTGCATACATTAGGTAGAGATGTACATCACCTCCCTGCATGTATTAGGTAGGGATGTACACCTCTCTGCATACATTAGGTAGGGATGTACATCTACACCTCTGTGCATACATTAGGTAAGGAAGTACATCTACACCTCTGTGCATATATTAGGTAGGGATGTACGTCTACACCTCTGTGCATGCATTAGGTAAGGAAGTACATCTACACCTCTGTGCATGCATTAGGTAGAGATGTACATCTACACCTCTGTGCATACATTAGGTAGGGATGTACATCTACACCTCTGTGCATGCATTAGGTAGGGATGTACATCTACACCTCTGTGCATACATTAGGTAGGGATGTACATCTACATTTCTGTTCATACATTAGGTAGGGATGTACATCTACACCTCTGTGCATGCATTAGGTAGGGATGGACATCTATACCTCTGTACATGCATTAGGTAGGGATGTACATCTACACCTCTGTGCATGCATTAGATATTGTTGTACATCTGCACCTCTGTGCATACATTAGGTAGGGATGTACATCTACACCTCTGTACATGCAATAGGTAAAGATTTACATCTACACCTCTGTGTATGCATTAGGTAAGGATGTACATCACCTGTGTGCATGCATTAGGTAGAGATGTACATCTACACATCTGTGCATGCATTAGATAGGGATCTACCTCTACACCTCTGTGCATATGTTAGGTAGGGATGTATGTCTACACCTCTGTACATACATTAGGTAGAGATGTACATCTACACCTCTGTGCATACATTAGGTAAGTAAGTACATCTACACCTCTGTACATACATTAGGTGGGATGTACATGTACACCTCTGTGTATGCATTAGGCAAGAATTAAATCATCTGTGTGCATGCATTAGGTAGGGATATACATCTACACCTCTATGCATGCTTTCGCTGGGGATGTACATCTACATCCCCGCCTAATTCACCGAACATGCATTAGGTAGGAATGCACATCTACACCTCTATGTATGCAGTAGGTAAGGATTTACATCACCTGTGTGCATGCATTAGGTAGGGATGTACATCTACACCTCTGTCCATGCATTCGGTAGGGATGTCCATCACCTCTATTCATGCATTAGGTAGGGATGTACAGCTATACCTCTGTGCATGCATTCGGTAAGCATGTATACACCTGTGCATGCAGTAGGTAGGGATGTACATCTGCACCTCTGTGTATGCATTAGGTAAGGATGCATACACCTGTGCGTGCATTACATAGAGATGTACATCTACACGTCTGTGCATGCATTCAGTAGGGATGTCCATCATCTCTATTCATGCATTAAGTAGGGATGTTCATCTACACCTTCATGCATGTGTTACATCTATACTGTCAAACCACAAATCTCAGGATTCCAAAGATGCATCGACACTGAGATTTGTAGTTTGAGACCCCAGAACTCTTTGGCAGAGAAGATGAAGGGTCTTAGAAAATTTCAACTCCCTGGCTTCCACAGCATGGAGCCATAGCAATGAAACTGATGATGTCAACTTCATTCGTTCTACAGTGTAGATCAGGCATAGGCAAACTTGGATTCTCCAGATGTTTTGGACTCCAAGTCCCACAATTCCTAAGAGCCTACTGACTGTTAGGAATTGTAAGAGTTGAAGTCCAAAACACCTGGAGGGCCTAAGTTTGCCCGTGACTGGTGTAGATGCATCCATGAATGCAATCATGTTGTTGTTGTTATTATTATTATGAAGAAGATAGAGAGAGAGAGATAGATAGATAGATAGATAGATAGATAGATAGATAGATAGATAGATAGATAGATGATAGATAGAAAGATAGAAAGATAGAAAGATAGAAAGATAGAAAGATAGATAGATAGATAGATAGATAGATAGATAGATAGATAGATAGATAGATAGATATAGATAGATACTGCTAGGTAAAGTAAGGTAAGTGTAGCATAGATCAATTGAATAAATGCTTGGGTAAATTTCATTGAATCAGTGGATCCTTTTTAGTCGGCACTAAGAGGAAAAACCAAAAGTCTTCCCTTGGGTTTTGGCAGGTTGAGTCAGAAGACCAAGCCCTATCTACCTTCTGTGGGAGGGAGGCCACGGACACGGAGCAGACACCAGGACAGCAGCCCATCCTGTCTCCAGGTTCGTCCATGAGCATCACCTTCCGGTCAGACTTCTCCAACGAGGAACGCTTCACCGGTTTCGATGCTCATTACACAGCTGTGGGTGAGTAGACCAGGCATGAAGTCATTCACTGAATCCAACATTTCTCTCATTCTGTGTCCTTCAGAGAATTCCATGCAACAGTGAGAATGATAGAAGCAAGTTCTGACCAGAGCTTGGGAAAGTTTACTTTCTTGCACTACGGAATCCCCAACCAGCAACCAGTCGTATACGTTCTCCATCTCTAGTTCCACCTAGGCTTAAGACACTAAGCATACATCTATTTCAGCTGTAGTCTAGAATGGGCTGGCATGGGACATGACATAGGATTGTTCCTACTGATGGGACAGATATCATGAAGGGACACTTGGCACCTCTTAGTTATCACCTCTTCAATAAGCTTCGGAGGTTCTCTTGGACATGGTTATGGAAACTGTGGTAAGCTTTTGAGGAGCTCTAAGGTTCTCAGCAGGTCTTTGTCTATCCACTGCCATGATTCAATGATACTCCACAAACTACAAATCCTAGGATTCCATAGCATTGAGCCTTGGCAGTCAAATGGGTGTCAACCTACATTAATTCTGCAGTGTATGTGCACCCTTTAAGTTTACATTTCTAGTAGATACACGTAGGACTGGGGCTCAAGGTCCCAGGAAGAAGCCCCTCTGGAACATGGCGCACAGAAATCAAGTTGTCCTGAGCATGGGCAAAGCAAAGAAGCAAGGAACCCAGAGTTTCTGCTTATGAACTCATTCTTCCTTTCCTTTCTGTCACAGATATTGATGAATGTCTGGAGAAGAGCGACGAGGAACTGGCCTGTGACCATCATTGCCACAACTATATCGGCGGGTATTATTGCTCCTGCAGATTTGGGTATATCCTCCATTCTGACAACAGGACTTGCAAAGGTAGGCCTAAACATACCTAGAGAAGTATTTGCTCTAAAGAGCTCCAGTGTGAATTCTCTAGTGTGAACCACATGTCCATTAGAACTGTATTTACAGTACTTACTTAGGCAATCCCTCGTAGTCCGGGTAGGATAATCTCGGTGTACTGACAGTGGGTCCATTGGTGACTGTGGAGCCCTATTCTTGATCTGCATGTTCTCCCGCAGTGAGGGCATCAGTTTCCAGGTGGAAGGCGGTTGCGGTCGGGGTTTGCTTGACGCACCTTGGCACATTTCTCTCTTTTGCCCTCCATTCATGCCTCTTCAAAATCTACAGCACTGCTGGTCACAGCTGACCTCCAGCTGGAGCGCTCAAGGGCCAGGGCTCCCAGTTCTCAGTGTATATGCCAGAGTTTTAAAGGTTGGCTTTGAGCCCATCTTTCAATCTCTTTTCTGACCTTTAAATGAACAGCACCCCTTTTTCCATTTTCCATTGTTGAGTTCGAAGTAGAGCAACTGCTTTGGAAGATGGTGGTCTGGCATCTGGACAACGTGACTGGTCCAGTGGAGTTGATGGCAGAGGACCATTGCTTCAGTGCTGGTGGTCTTTGCTTCTTCCAGCACGCTGACGTTTGTCCGCTTGTCTTCTCAAGAGATTTGCAGGATTTTCTGGAGGCAGCGCTGATGGAATCGTTCCAGGAGTTGCATGTGACGTCTGTAGATAGTCCACGTCTCACAGGCATATAGCAGGGTTGGGAGGACAATAACTTTATAAACAAGCACCTTGATATCCCTACGGATGTCCCGGTCTCAAACACTCTGTGCTTCATTCGGAAAAATGCTGCACTTGCAGAGCTCAGACCATGTTGTGCTTCGGTGTCAATGTTGACTTTTGTGGAGAGGTGGCTGCCAAGGGAGTGGTAATGGTCAACATTTTCTAATGTTACACCATTAAGCTGTATCTCTGGCATTGAAGAGGGATTGGCTGTTGACTTCTGGAAGAGCACTTTGGTTTTCTCGATCTTCAATGACAGGCTAAGCTTATCGTATGCTCCTGCGAAGGTGTTTAGAGTGATTTGTAGGTCTTCTTCTGAATGCGCACAGATGACGCATGTCCATTAGATGCATGTCCATTAGAACTATATTTCCAATAATGCACAATGGGGTTACAGACAATACATTTCTATCTAACAGTGATTATCTACCTAACACTCTCAAGGTCCCCTGAAGTGACTCCTTGGCCAATTTCTGCCAGAGGTTGGCCATAGAGCTCTACTGGCTGCCAATTTGCTACCAGACACAATTCAAAGTGCTGGCTTTAGCCTATAAAGCCCTAAACAGTTCCGGCCCAGCTTATCTATCTCAACGCATCTCTCCCTATGAAACCTCCAGGAACTTGAGATCGTCTGAGGAGGCCCTGCTCTTGATCCCGCCTGCTTCACAAGCACGTTTGACAGGGACAAGAGACAGGGCCTTCTCTGTGGTGGCCCCTCAGCTGTGGAACTCCCTGCCTAGGGATATTAGATCAGCCCCTCCCTCCTGACCTTTCGAAAAAGAGTGAAAACATGGGCAGCATGACGAGAAAAACTCAAATTGAAAATGAACTAGGAATGGCTAGGACGATGGAACGATTGAGGATTTGAACAAGAAGACATAGCTTTTATAATTTTTATTATTCATTGCTTTTATGGTTTTTAAATGTATTGTACTGTTTCAGAGGCGGCCCTAGGTAATTTTCAATGGTAAGCAAACAGTATTTTGGCGCCCCCCCCCCCCCCCCCCCACCAATCATTGATATATATTTTCTGTTCGTCGTGGGAGTTCTGTGTGTCATATTTGGTTCAATTCCATCATTGGTGGAGTTCAGAATGCTCTTTGATTGTAGGTGAACTATACATCCCAGTAACTACACTTGCTGCACTTGCTCCCTTGCCTGGCCCGCTTTGGGTCCAGAGGCGTGCCTGAAGACCCCGGCGTGTGCACCAAAAGTCACCTCTTCTCCTGACTTTCTCCTCAGCCATTGGGACCAAGAGAGAGAGAGAGAAAGAGACAGAGGTGGAGATGCCCACCTTTCCTGAAGGTAGGTGCAAAAACAAAGGAGGGAGCGGAGGTGGGAGATACCTCCAGCCGGAGGGGCTCTCTCTCTCTCTCTCTCTCTCTCTCTCTCTCTCTCTCTCTCTTGGTCCCAATGGCTGAAGAGAAAGTCAGGAGAAGAGGCGACTTTTGGTGCGCACGCTGGGGTCTTCAGACACGCCTCCGGACCCGAAGCGGGCCAGGTGCAGCGGCTCCACCCCTTGGCCCACCCGCGGATTGAGGAGAGGAGAGGAGGCGGGTGGAGCGCTGGGGGATTGGGAAAGGGAGCCGGTCATGGGGAAGGGATCGAACATGGAGAATAATTGAGCACCGGCTCTGCTCACGCACCCGGTGGCCGGGTGGAGCAGGAACGAGAGAGGCTAGGCGAGGCTCAAGGACCCGACCCCTTTGGGAAGAGGATCGCCCAGCAGCGAGGCAAGAAAGCCGAGGCTCCCCCCGGACTGCTAGGGCTGTTGTGAGATGCCCCTGGCAAAAAAAAGTGTTCTGCAACCGCTTACTTCACGTAATGGACGAGCCGTTTCTGACTGTTTTTGCTTTTTATTGATGTATGTATTTTTATATATGGCATCTAATTGTTGCCTACTTGTACGTCGCCCTGAGTCAGGATACAAATATTGTAAATAAATAAATAGAGTCATCCTAGGCTAGAGGACCTACAGGTTATTAATATTAATAAAATAATATTCAAAACTGTGAATAATCAAATCCACAACAACCAAGCCTGCAAATGTGTGAGAGGCTCTCAGCCGTGTCCGTTGTGTTTCCTGCAGTGGAGTGTAGCGACAACCTCTTCGCCCAGAGAAATGGGGTGATCCATAGCCCAGACTTCCCAAATTCCTACCCAAAAAGTTCCGACTGCTTGTACCGCATTGAGCTGGAAGAAGGCTTCTTCATTACCCTCCAATTCGAAGATAATTTTGACATTGAAGACCATCCGGAAGTGACTTGTCCATACGACTACATCAAGGTGAGCACATCCGGCTACAAGGCCGTAGTTCGGTGGTCAGTCCAACTGCGAAGTGATAGTTTAGTGGTCAGAGGGGACATTCGATTGCCTGCAGGTCTCTCATTCCATTCTCAGCCCTATTGAAATGGGAAAAATAATAATTCCAGTTTTACCCCCATTGATCCAACAGTTGAGTGGCAAATCAACATGTCTTAGAAGGTACACCTCCTGCCAAATGGAGTAGCAGGATTGCTGACCGAAGTACTAAATGGACGACACATAGGTAGTGTTGTGACTCAGCTGGAATCACAGAGTGATAGTGTCAATGAGTCTGATGAGGATGATGGGATTCAGACTCACAGTCAGGTGCAAAGCGATGTGATAGACGAGGTAGAACAGGGTACAAAAGTTCAGTTGTTTCCCACAGCAAGGGATGACGATGTTGATAATGAAACTACTGAGAGCCAGGTGCATTTTGATTCAGGAAGGGAAGACAGTTGTTCTCAGCCACATAATGAGCAAGAAAGCACTAATGAACAGATTGACCTTGATGAGGACGGAGCTTTAGATCGAGCTATTCGCTTGGAATGTAAGGTTCGGAGAAGTGTGAGAATCGCTAGCAAGAGAGAGAGGGAGGCCAAGGGCCAGAGGAACGCCTTCATGTTTTCCAAAGGGTATTAAACAGGCTGTTTGAAAATACCCCAGTGTCAAAGCAACTTCTCGCTTCAGCCAAGAGACTTAGGATTTATCTTGCAGTTGTCATGTTCATGGTTTCAGGACTTTGTCATGTTCTCATGGGACTTTTGCCTTGCTTATATCTTCGTGGATCCTGATTTCCAGTGTTACCTTATATTGATCTTTGGAACTATGCTTGTGCCTTTTTGAACTTTTTATCTTTTACTTTAATAAACCATAAAGACTATTGCCTGTGTGCTGTTTGGTGTCTGAAGCAAGGTGATTCTACTCTGAGGTGCGACAGGTTGAACATCCCTTATTCAGAAATAATGGTGTCAAATTATCTCCTGGATATGGTTATTTATTTATTATTTATTTTATTTATTTACCTTACTTATATACCGCTGTTCTCAGCCCGAAGGCGAGTCACAGCGGTTCACAACAAATAAGAACAGCATAAAAAACAGTTAATAACCTAACACATTACATAATTAATAACAATTACTACAATAACCATTCATTATCGTCTCATCATCAAAAACATGTTCCAGATTCATCATCCATTGTTCCATTCCAGTGTTCATTAACCAATCATTGCACTAATTATTCGAACGCCTGCTCAAACAGCCAGGTCTTCACTTTTTTGCGGAATACCATTAGAGATGGTGCTAGTCTAATGTCCGTAGGAAGGGCGTTCCACAACCGAGGAGCCACCACCGAGAAGGCCCTATCTCTTGTCCCCGCCAGCCGTGCTTGAGAAGCAGGCGGGATCGAGAGCAGGGCCTCCCCGGAAGATCTCAAAGTCCTGGTGGGTTCATAGGCCGAGATGCGGTCGGATAGGTAGCTTGGGCCGGAACCGTTTAGGGCTTTAAAGGCCAACACCAGCACTTTGAATTCAGCCCGGTAGCAGATTGCACCGTGACTCCAGCAAAGGATCACCGCCTTGTCGGGGCGCTGGAGCTTGAGCACCTCAATGATGTCATGAGCGAAACCGTGAAGGGCCACCCAAGACGGGACGGTTGTGGCAGAGAGGTCAGACCAAGCGTGATCCCTGGGGAAGGCAATGGCACACCACTCCAGTATCCTTGCCAAGAAAACTAAATGGACCAGTACAACCAGAGATATGTCGGTATGCCATTGGAAGATGGGACTCCCAGGTCGGAAGATGGCCAAAATGCTACTGGGGAGGAGCAGAGGATAAGTTCAACTAGCCCCAGATGTGATGACGCAGCTAGCTCAAAGCCGAAAGGAAGGCTAGCGGCCGACGGTACTGGAGGTAAACGACGAATCCGATGCTCTAAAGATCAACACACCATAGGAACCTGGAATGTAAGATCTATGAGCCAGGGCAAATTGGATGTTGTTATTGGTGAGATGTCAAGACTAAAGATAGACATTCTGGGGGTCAGCTAACTGAAATGGACTGGAATGGGCCACTTCACATCAGATGACCACCAGATCTACTACTGCGGACAAGAGGAACATCGAAGAAATGGAGTAGCCTTCATAATTAATAAGAAATTCGCTAAAGCGATGCTTGGATACAACCCAAAAAATGACAGAATGATCTCAATTCGAGTGCAAGGAAAGCCTTTCAACATTACAGTGATCCAAATATACGCCCCAACCACAGCTGCTGAAGAAGCAGAAGTAGATCAGTTCTATGAGGATCTGCAGGACCTACTGGATAATACACCAAAAAGGGACATTATTTTCATTACAGGAGACTGGAATGCCAAGGTGGGAAGTCAAATGACAACTGGGATCACAGGCAAGCATGGTCTGGGAGAACAAAATGAAGCGGGACGCAGGCTGATAGAATTTTGCCAGGAAAACTCGCTGTGTATAACGAATACTCTCTTCCAACAACCTAAAAGACGGCTTTACACATGGACCTCACCAGACGGTCAACACCGAAATCAGATTGACTACATCCTTTGCAGCCAAAGGTGGCGGACATCCATCCAGTCGGTGAAAACAAGACCTGGGGCTGACTGTAGCTCAGATCACGAACTTCTTATTGCCCAATTTAGAATAAAACTAAAGAGATCAGGGAAAATACACAGACCAGTTAGATATGATCTCACTAACATTCCTAGCGAATATACAGTGGAAGTGAAGAACAGATTTGAAGGACTAGATTTAGTAAACAGAGTCCCAGAAGAACTATGGACAGAAGTCTGCGACATTGTTCAGGAGGCGGCAACAAAGTACGTTCCCAAGAAAAAGAAAACCAAGAAGGCAAAATGGTTGTCTGCTGAGACACTGGAAGTAGCCCAAGAAAGGAGGAAAGCAAAAGGAAACAGGGATAAGGGGAGATATGCCCAATTAAATGCACAATTCCAGAGGTTAGCCAGAAGAGATAAGGAACTATTTTTAAATAAGCAATGCATGGAAGTGGAAGAAGACAACAGAATAGGAAGGACAAGAGACCTCTTCCAGAAAATTAGAAACATTGGAGGTAAATTTCAGGCAAAAATTGGTATGATAAGAAACAAAGATGGCAGGGACCTAACAGAAGCTGAAGAGATCAAGAGAAGGTGGCGAGACTATACAGAAGATCTGTATAGGAAGGATAATACTATTGAGGAGGATAGCTTTGACGGTGTGGTGAATGAATTAGAACCAGACATCCTGAGGAGTGAGGTTGAATGGGCCTTAAGAAGCATTGCTACAACAAGGCAGCAGGAGATGACGGGATCCCAGCTGAACTGTTTAAAATCTTAAAAGATGATGCTGTCAAGGTGATGCATGCCATTTGCCAGCAAATATGGAAAACACAAGAATGGCCATCAGACTGGAAAAAATCAACTTATATCCCCATACCAAAAAAGGGAAATGCTAAAGACTGCTCCAACTTCCGTACAGTGGCCCTTATTTCTCATGCCAGTAAGGTAATGCTCAAGATCCTGCAAGGAAGACTCCAGCAATACATGGAGCGAGAGTTGCCAGATGTTCAAGCTGGGTTTAGAAAAGGCAGAGGAACGAGAGACCAGATTGCATATCCGCTGGATAATGGAGAAAGGCAGGGAGTTTCAGAAAAACATCTACTTCTGCTTCATTGACTATTCTAAAGCCTTTGACTGTGTGGATCATAATAAATTGTGGCAGGTTCTTGGTGGGATGGGCATCCCAAGCCACCTTGTCTCTCTCCTGAGGAATCTGTACAAGGACCAAGTAGCAACAGTCAGAACTGACCACGGAACAACAGACTGGTTCAAGATTGGGAAAGGCGTACGGCAAGGCTGCATCCTCTCACCCAACCTTTTTACCTTGTATGCAGAACACATCATGCGATGTGCGGGGCTTGATGAATGCAAGGCTGGGGTGAAAATTGCTGGAAGAAACATTAACAACCTCAGATATGCAGATGACACCACTCTGATGGCCGAAAGCGAGGAGGAGCTGAGGAGCCTTCTAATCAAGGTGAAAGAAGAAAGCGCAAAAGCCGGGTTGCAGCTAAACGTCAAAAAAACCAAGATTATGGCAACAAGAATGATTGACAACTGGAAAACAGAGGGAGAAACCGTGGAGGCCGTGACAGACTTTGTATTTCTAGGTGCAAAGATTACTGCAGATGCAGACTGTGGCCAGGAAATCAGAAGACGCTTCCTTCTTGGGAGGAGAGCAATGTCCAGTCTCGATAAAATAGTGAAGAGTAGAGACATCAGACTGGCAACAAAGATCCATTGCCTAGTCAAAGCCATGGTATTCCCTGTAGTCACCTACGGATGTGAGAGCTGGACCTTAGGGAAGGCTGAGCGAAGGAAGATCGATGCTTTTGAGCTGTGGTGTTGGAGGAAAGTGCTGAGAGTGCCTTGGACTGCGAGAAGATCCAACCAGTCCATCCTTCAGGAAATAAAGCCCGACTGCTCACTGGAGGGAAGGAGATACTAGAGACAAAGTTGAAGTACTTTGGCCACATCATGAGGAGACAGGAAAGCCTAGAGAAGACAATTATGCTGGGGAAAGTGGAAGGAAGGAAGAGGGGCCGACCAAGGGCAAGATGGATGGATGGCATCCTTGAAGTGACTGGACTGCTTGAGGGAGCTGGGGGTGGTAACGGCCGACAGGGAGCTGTGGTGTGGGCTGGTCCATGAGGTCAGGAAGAGTCGGAGACGACTGAACGAATGAACAACAAAGCAGATTGGTAGCCAGTGGAGTTGGCGCAACAGGGGGGTTGTATGCTCCCTGCGCTCCGCTCCTGTCAACATCATGGCTGCCGAGCGTTGGACTAGTTGGAGCTTCCGAGCCGTCTTCAAAGGCAACCCCACGTAGAGAGCGTTGCAGTAGTCTAAACGGGATGTAACCAGAGCGTGGACTACCGTGGCCAAGTCAGACTTCCCAAGGTACGGGCGCAGCTGGCGCACAAGCTTTAACTGTGCAAATGCTCCCCTGGTCACCGCCGAAACCTGGGGTTCCAGGCTCAGCGATGAGTCCAGGGTCACACCCAAGCTGCGAACCTGTGTCTTCAGGGGGAGTGCGACCCCATCCAACACAGGCTGTAACCCTATGCCCTGTTCGGCCTTTTGACTGACCAGTAGGACCTCTGTCTTGTCTGGATTCAATTTCAATTTGTTCACCCTCATCCAGAACGTCACAGTGGCCAAGCACCGGTTCAGGAACTGGACAGCCTCCAGGTTATAATCATTTTCTGTGGCAACTGGTAGATGCCATATGTTCTGTATCTCAGAAACTGGAGCTGATAGGGGGAAACTGGTCTTTGGACTTGGCAGTTGTCAACTATACCCAGAAACAGGGCTAACATTTGAGGCACCCAAATGTGTGTCAGCCAATGGAACATACAGCCCGAAAAACTTATAGCAACCCAGTGTAATAATAATAGGCACACTTTCTGACCTTTAAATGAACAACATCCCTTACCTACATCCCCAGAGTCATAGTTCAGAGTGTTTTTAATTTGTTTTAGCTTTCAAAGCAGGTTTGTTTTTATTTTGTTTAGACAATGTATGGGTTCATTCTGGGTATTGTTTACTTTGTACACCGTTCTGAGATTCCAATGCAAAGGACAAAAGCAGAAGTGTTTAAATAAATACATGGAATGGATGCAGCCATCTGGGCATCAGCCAGGCTCAGTCTTGCCACATCAAGATATCATTTTGGGGAAGTTACTTTTGGGAGGCTACAGCTTTTGGAGTATTTATGCCACCTGGTGGATTCTGGGAGTTACAGCTAAAAGTATAACTTTCTGAAGTGTTGGGCTCAGTAGGCTCAGTAGGAACCCAATGACATGGATCAAGAGAAAGGACAAGTGAGTTACAAGGCAAAAAAATGTAACTTTTCAAAGCCCAGCTTCAAACAATGTCTATGGAAGTTATCTCTGCAAGATTTTGTCTTCCAAGCCTTCCTCCTATAGACATAAAAGCTAGAGACATAAAATTCACACTATTTAGTTATAGCACCATTATCCTACTTTGCTATGGTTTCATCTTCAGCTCAAGCAGGGAGCTTTGAGATGGTTGAATAGAAGCTTTCCTAAGCTCTAGGTCAGCTGGTAAACTGGCTAGGATTTCTGGGAGTTGTAGGCCAAAAACATCTGGGGACCCCAGGTTGAGAACCACTGCTCTAGGTGCTCTTACTGCCTATTACAGGGAAAACCAGCTGATCCCTAATCCATCTAAAACACAGACATGTGCCTTTCACTAGATCATAGAATCAAAGAGTTGGAAGAGACCTCATGGGCCATCCAGTCCAACCCCATTCTGCCAAGAAGCAGGAATATTGCATTCAAATCACCCCTGGCAAATGGCCATCCAGCCTCTGCTTAAAAGCTTCCAAAGAAGGAGCCTCCACCACACTCCGGGGCAGAGAGTTCCACTGCTGAACAGCTCTCACAGTCAGGAAGTTCTTCCTTAAGAACAGACAAGCATCCCGAGCTCTGAGGATCACCTGGGAAGGAATCCCACTGGAGCATTGCAACACACCCAAATACCTGGGAGTCACCCTGGACCGTGCCCTGACCTACAAGAAGCATTGCCTGAACATCAAGCAAAAAGTGGGTGCTAGAAACAATATCATACGAAAGCTGACTGGCACAACCTGGGGATCACAACCAGACACAGTGAAGACATCTGCCCTTGCGCTGTGCTACTCTGCTGCTGAGTATGCATGCCCAGTGTGGAACACATCTCACCACACTAAAACAGTGATGTGGCTCTTAATGAGACATGCCGCATTATCACGGGGTGTCTGCGCCCTATACCACTGGAGAAATTACACTGCTTAGCCGGTATTGCACCACCTGACATCTGCCGGGAAGTAGCAGCCAATAGTGAAGGACCAAGGCAGAGACATCTCCAGCTCATCCCCTGTTTGGGTATCAGCCAGCACGTCAACGACTTAAATCTAGAAATAGTTTTCTAAGATCTACAGAGACACTCGCTGGAACACCTCAGCAAGCGAGAGTCCAAAAGTGGCAGGCTCAAACCCAGAACCTCAACCAATGGCTGATACCAAATGGGGGACTCCCCCCTGGGCACACAGAAGACTGGGCGACTTGGAAGGCGCTGAACAGACTGCAGAGCCAACCTCAAGAAGTGGGGCCACAAAGTGGAATCCACGACATGCGAGTGTGGAGAAGAGCAAACCACTGTCCACCTGCTGCAATGCAACCTGAGCCCAGCCACATGCAACATGGAGGACCTTCTTGCAGCAACACCAGAGGCACTCCAAGTGGCCAGATACTGGTCAAAGGACATTTAATCAACTACCAAACTCACAAATTTTGTGTTTTGTCTGTTTGTTTGTTTGTTTACTTTGTTCTGTTAGAAATGTAATATAATTTGACTAGTTGTCCTGACACGACAAATAAATGTCATGGAAAACTGGGATTTTTAGTGTAAGAAAGGGCAGATGGAATACTTAGCCAGAGAGCTCTAGTGTTGCACTCCGGGATAGCAATAACACTCTGATTTTAAAACACCACACGTTGAATAGGGAAAGCAATCCTTTTATTGAAGATAAGTAAAAACAGCAAAGTAAAAAAAAACACTTTAAAGGAATAGGTAAAACCAATTAGGTAAAACAATAAGCAGAAACAAATTAGTCCAAGGTAGAGTTCAGCAATGTCCAAAAACAAAGTCCACAACTCTCTAAAGAAAGCCAAAGAACCAGAAAACGTTGATCCAAAGAATGAGCAGGTAATCATGAGAGACAAAAAACCAATCAGGAAACAAGAAATACTTAAGCATGAATCTTCCAAGCAAGGCTTCTATAAGACGAGGACAAGAACTTAGCAGGATTCTAAACGATGCTTCATCTGACTGTATTTTCCATGCTTGGAACTTTTAAGCCTTTCCAAGCACTCAGAAACTGGTTTCGCTTTCCTTGGGCGGCCCTTATCTTTTTCTGTTGAAGCCTGGCAGAACGCCGAAGGGATTGTTCGGCCTGTCTGTTTTGACTAATTTCCGCCCGCCTATCTATATGCTTCTGCATAAGTTTCTGCAGGTGCCAAGTTGTTTTCAAATCCTGGGGAGTCTCTGGGAGCAATTCAGGGAGTAAACCATCATCCCTATCCCCTGTAGGAACATTCTCATGGGAAACTACACTTTGAACAGGCGTCTCTATGTCATTCTCTGCATCAATATCACTGACCAAACCATTGCCATCTTGAACCTCATTTACATCATCCCCCACCTCCTGAAACACAATCACAGGCTGAACTCCAACACCTAGTGCGTCAACAACATACAAAACACAAGACTCCAAAGGACATAATGGAATCCTTTAATTTCTTTGAATGCTTTCTGTTTTGACCAATTGTTGTCATTGTGTGCCTTCAAGTCATATGGGATATATGGTGACCCTACCATGGGGTTTTCTTGGCAAGAGTGGTTCACAATACGTTTCTCCTATGCCATCCTCAGAGGCTGAGAGAGTGAGACTCACTCAAGGTCATCCAATGCATTGGCATGGCTGAGCCAGGATCCAAACCCTGGTCTTCAGAGCCATAGTTCAATATTCAAACCATTACAGCTCTAAGTATTAAGCCATGTTCTTTCTTCTGTTCCTCTTTCGATTGTCTCCCTTGGCAGATCACAGCTGGAGTCAAAGAATTTGGTCCTTTTTGTGGGGAAAGATCTCCAGGTCGGATCGAAACCCGGAGCAACATCGTCCATATTTTGTTCCATAGTGATAACTCCGGAGAGAATGGAGGCTGGAAACTTTCCTACACAGCTATAGGTAACTCTCTTATTCTCCAATATTCCACGCTTGGAAACTAGGGGTGCATCTATGTTAGGGACCCCCAATTCAGGATCCCTGCATTGGGCCTGGTCGTAGGAGGCAGTAAGACAAATACGCAGTCTCAGGAGAAGTACAAAGTTTATTTTCGTCATAATTATGATGAGACGGGCCAGCCGTACCAAACACGCAGGTTGGTACTTTCAAGAGACTGCTGCACCCAATGTCTCTCAGACTTACATTAGGTAAGACCTTTTGGCACTGCAGCTAAAGTTAGTCTGACTTTAAACACCACACAGACTGAGTAGAAATGCAATCCATTTATTGAAGATAATTAAAAAGCAGTAAAGTAAAAAGCACTTTAAAGAAATAGGTAAATCCAATTAGGTAGGAAGATAAGCCAAAACAAAATAGTCCAAGGTATTAGTCCATCAAAGTCCATGAAAAACGAAGGCAGAAACTTCTATAATAAAATCCAAGAAACCATGAAACATGAATCCAAGGCAATGGAATACAAAATCATAGAATCCAAGAATCCAAACCATGAAACAAAAGCACTTTAAACATACATTTTTCCCAAGCAAAACTTCCAAGAAACAGGGACGAGATCTTGACTTGATTCCAAACGATGCTTCATCTGAGTACAGATCCTGTACTTGGGACTTTTATCTCCACGTTAAGCTATATCCCAAGCACTCAGAAACTGGTTTTGCTTTAGCTTTGAATCTCTTATCTTTCTTTCTCTGAGCCTGGAAGAGCACCAAAGCCACTGCTCTGCTCTTCTGTTTTGACTAATCACCTCCCGTCTATCTATGTGCTCATTAATTTCTGCAGCTGGGCCAGGTGCCGAGCTGTTCTCAAGCTCCAAATCATGGGAATTCTCTGGTACCAATTCAGTGACCACACCATCATACCCACACCCTTCAGGGACATTCTCATGAGAAACTACACATTGGACAGGGATCTCCAAGTCATTCTCTGCATCAGTATCATTGACCATACCATTACCTTCTTGAAACTCATTGTCATCACTCCACACATCTAAAGCACTCTGATCAGAGGCTGAGCTCCAACAATGCACTGGTGAGGAAAAGCATGTTCTAAGGCAGACATCTCCACCACTAGGGGGAGAATTTCTTCAAGATATTTGCTCACCGACATCATCTAGCTTGATTCCATTTGCTTGCCTCCATACTTCTGGTTTAATAGAGAATTGTTTTGCTTATTTCCTCCCTCCCTCCTTTCTTTCTTTCTTTCTTTCTTTCACAAAAGGGGACCCATGTCCACTCCTGGAGCCTCCGCCCAATGGCCGAATTGACCCTTCCCAGGCGACGTATACCTTCAAGGACCAGGTGGTCATCAGCTGCAACACAGGATACAACATCCTCAAGGTAAGGCTCAGTGGAATCAAAGAAACAATGACTAACACAGTGACAGTGGGCAAATCTGCTCTGGGTTTTAATCTGAACATTAAAAGATTTATCCAAGTTGGCTAACTCTCTTCAAACATAAGTGCAGCACCTTGGGTACCTTTGAAATTTGGACTAAAACCCAGAGCAGATTGACCACTCTCTTGTGGGAAGTCACTAGTCTCCTTTACCTGACTGTTTAGTCCATTTTATTTACTTTTATATTACTTATTAGCCGTCCCCTGCCACGCATTGCTGTGGCCCACATGGGGGTTCTGTGTGGGAGGTTTGGCTCAATTCTATCCTTGGTGGGGTTCAGAATGCTCTGTGATTGTAGGTGAACTATAAATCCCAGCAACTACAACTCCCAAATGTTAAGATTCTCTTTTCCCCAAACTCCAGTGTTCACATTTGGGCATTTTGAGTATTCATGTAGAGTTTGGACCAGATCAATCATTGTTTGAGTCCACAGTGATCTCTGGATCTCTGGATGTAGGTGAACTACAACTCCAAAACCAAAGGACACTGCCCACCAAACCCTTCCAGTATTTTCTGTTGGTCATGGAAGTGCCAAGTTTGGTTCAATTCCATCATTGGTGGGGTTCAGAATGTTCTTTGAATGTAGATGAACTATAAACCCCAGAAACTACAACTCCCAAATGACAAAATCAGGGGTTTTTTGAGTGAAGGACATACATTGGGTTGTTAGGTGCCTTGTGTCCAAATTTGGTGTCAATTCGTCCAGTGGTTTTTGAGTTCTGTTAATCCCACAAACGAACATGACATTTTTATTTATATAGATTTAGTCTATATGCTGCCTTTTTTTCAGAGTAGGAAAACAAGGTGGCCTATAACATGCATTAAACAAATAATGTTGAAAACCAAATAAGAACTAAACACAGGAGGAGGAAATCCATGTTCCACTTTCTACTGGGTTCTGTTTGGTATACATTTCTCTGGGTTTGCATGCCATAAATGAATAAAATAAATGAGTTTCTGGAGATAGAGGCAGGAGAACCTAGAGCAGTGGTTCTCAACCTGTGGCTCCCCAGATGTTTTGGCTTCCAACTCCCAGAAATCCTAATAGCTGGTAAACTGACTGGGATTTCTGGGAGTTGTAGGCCAAAACACCTGGGGACCCACAGGCTGAGAACCACTGCTCGAGAGATTCTTATAGAGAACACCTCTCTAAATATGTATTTGTAGATCTTCCAGTGCAATTCTATCAATCAATCTATCAATCAAACCTGTGAATTATCAAGTTCTCAAACTAAACTTGGAACTTGCAAGTGCAGAAGGCAGATCTCCAGTGTTGAATTAATTCAATCTGACACCACTTTAATTGCTATGGCTCAGAGCTACGAAATCTTGGGAATTGTAATTTGGTGAGATGCTAGCACTCTTTGGCAGAAAAAGGTGAAATACTTTGCAAAACTACGACTCCCAGCATCCCAAAGCATGGAGGCAAAGCAGTTGAAATGAACTGCATTCATTTTGTAATGTAGATCAGTGGTTCCCAACCTTTTTTTGACCAGGGACCACTTAACCAGAGACCACTTGACAAGGGACCACTCTCCAGCATTAGTACCAGAAGGGTTACGAATCAGTTTTGGGTCAACTTTAGATTGGGTCTGGTTATTTGGGATGCTTTATTTATTTATTGTGTCATCAGCAACCAGACATTTGTATTACATTTTTAATAAAAACAAACAAACAAACAGATAAGATACAGAATTTGCAAGCTTGGTATTCAATTAAATGTCCTTTGACCAGTATCTGGCCACTTGGAGTGCCTCTGGTGTTGCCGCAAGAAGGTCCTCCATGGTGCATGTAGCAGGGCTCAGGTTGCATTGCAGCAGGTGGTCTGTAGTTTGCTCTTCTCCACATGAGAGAAGCCTCCTCGCAGAATTGCAAGACATCTGGGCGTCCCCTTGGCAACGTCTTCATAGGCGACTGATTCTCTCGCTCCAGAAGCAACCAGAAGTGACTTGCAACATTTGGGGGTGCTGATTCAGACAATTGCATTAGATAGACCACATCAGCTCTAGTTTCTGATACAGAACATATGCCATCCAGTAGTCAACATCTTCTTCCACAGAAAATCATATTTAATAAGCCTCGGCACTCTCGTTGCAACACTGTAGTAAAGGTGGGGATGGGGATGATATTTTAGTTCTTGCGGACTACTCGTGGTCCACAGACCACAGGTAGTGAACCACTGGTATATAGGATAGAGCAGGCATGGGCAAACTGTGGCCCTCCAGGAATTTTGAGCTCCAACCCCCACAAATGTGAGAGTTCAAGTCCAAAATACCTGGAGGGCCACAGTTTGCCCATGCCTGGTATACATCAACGCAACCCAAGCCATCTCTAGTTTGTGATACAGAACATATGCCATCTAGTAGTCACTATCTGCTTGCCCATAGGAAACCTCAGCACTATAAGAGGGTTTTGTGAGATCAGTCACTCTTATTGCAATGGTGTAGTAACTGAGGCCACAGACCATACTTTAGTTCTTTCAGACCACTGGTGTCCACAGATCACCGGTTGGGAACCACTGATGTAGATAGGCCCTGTTGTGGGAACTTATGAACAATGGAAATGTTCAAGGTTCTTGTGGGTTTTTTCGGGCTATAGGACCATGTTCTAGAGGCATTTCTCCTGACGTTTCGCCTGCATCTATGGCAAGCATCCTCAGAGGTAGTGAGGTCTGTTGGAATTAGGACAATGGGTTTATATATCTGTGGAATGGCTGGGGTGGGGCAAAGAGCTCTTCTCTGCTGGAGCTAGGTGTGAATGTTTCAACTGACCACCTTCATTAGCATTTGAAGGCCTGGCTGAGCCTGGGAAAATCTTTTGTTGAGAGGTGTTAAGATGTGCCTGGTTGTTTCCTCTCTGCTGTTTTGCTGTAGTAGTTTTAGAGTTTTTTAATACTGGTAGCCAGATTTTGTTCATTTTCATGGTCTCTTCCTTTCTGTTGAAATGTTCCTTAAATGAATTGGAGGGCATCACAAGGCAAGGGGAAGATTGAGTGGCCATTCCTGCCTTCCATTTATATTCCTTTTAATCTGCAGGACGGAGTGGAGAGCGAATCTTTCCAGATCGAGTGCATGAAGGACGGAGTGTGGAGCAACAAGGTCCCCATCTGTCAAAGTAAGGACCCATTTTGAGTTGAGAAGGAATACTCATAAGAAGTCAACAGGGGTTTCTCAAAAGCAAGTCATGCCAGATGAACCTTGACTCCTTTATTTGATAGTTACAAGCTTGGTAGATGCAGGGCATGCTGTGGATGGAGCAGATCTTGATTTCAGTAAGACCTCTGACAAAGTCCCTCATGACCTTCTCACCAAGAAGGTAGTCAAGTGTGGGCTGGATAGTGGATTTGGAATGGGTTGACTGATCCAACCCAAAGGGTGCTGCTTCCTAATGACTCCTCTTCCTTCCTTTTGGAGAGAAGTGCCCAATGGGGAGCCATAAAGAAGGGTTCAGTCCTGAGTCTATTCAACATCTTTATCAATGAGTTGGACAATAGAAGGCATCTGGAGATGGGACCCAATTGGGAGGGAGAGCTAATGTCTTAGGGGACATGATCAGGATCCAAAAGTACCTTCACAGATTGGACAGATGTGCCAAAACTAACAAGATGAACGTCAACAGGGAGAAATGTACAGTATGATACTTAGGCAGGAAAAAATGAAATACATAGATGTAGGATGGGAGACTCTAGGGTTTGACAACATCCCATGTGAAAGAGATCTTGGAGTCAAGCTGAACATAAGTCAGCAATGGGATGTGGCAGCTTAAAAAGCCAATGTGATCCTAGGCTGCATCAAGAAGACTCCAGTGTCCATATCAAGTCATAGTCCCACTCTCTTCTGCTTTTGACCTGGAATAATAATCCTGTGTCCAGTTCTGGGCAAAGCAATCCAAGTAGGAGATGGAGAAGGTGGAAGGTGTCCAGAGAAGGGCAACCAAAATGATCAAAGTTTGGAAGGCAACCTCTATGAGGAACGACTTAGGGAGCTGGAGACGTTCAGCCTGGAGAAGAGAAGGTTGAGAGAAGAAGACACAAGAGCCATGTTTAAATATCTGAAAGGATGTCCCATTTGTGAGGGGCCCAGCTTGTTTTCTGCTGCTCTAGAGAAATAGATTCAAATTGCAGCAAAATAGATTCCACCTAAACATAAGGAAGAACTTCCTGACATTAAGGGCTGTTTGGCAACAGACTTTGCACCCTGGGAGTCCAGTAGAGTCTCCATCTCTGGAGGTTCTCAAACAGAGTCTGGATAATGTGTTGTCAAAGGCTTTCATGACCAGAATCACTGGGTTTCTGTGAGATTTCCGGGCTTTATGGCCATGTTCCAGAAGCATTCTCTCCTGACGTGTCACCCACATCTATGTCAGGCATCCTCAGAAGTTGAGGGGTCGGTTAAAAAACTCTAAAATCAGGATAGTAAATAAAGAGCAACACTCAAAAAACAGGGGAATTCCAGACAAGAACCAATCAGGGCCAATAACACCTCCCAACATAGGATTCCCCCGGGCAGCAATCAGCCAGGCTTTGAATCATAGAATCAAAGAGTTGGAAGAGACCTCATGGGCCATTCAGTCCAACCCCCTGCCAAGAAGCAGGAATATTGCATTCAAATCACCCCTAGCCATCCAGCCTCTGTTTAAAAGCTTCCAAAGAAGGAGCCTCCACCACACTCCGGGGCAGAGAGTTCCACTGCTGAACGGCTCTCACAGTCAGGATGTTCTTCCTCATGTTCAGATGGAATCTCCTCTCATGTAGTTTGAAGCCATTGTTCCCTTGCGTCCTAGTCTCCAGGGAAGCAGAAAACAAGCTTGCTCCCTCCTCCTCCCTGTGGCTTCCCCTCACATATTTATACATGGCCATCATATCTCCTCTCAGCCTTCTCTTCTTCAGGCTAAACATGCCCAGCTCCTCAAGCCGCTCCTCATAGGGCTTGTTCTCCAGACCCTTGATCATTTTAGTCACCCTCCTCTAGACACATTCCAGCTTGTCAATATCTCTCTTGAATTGTGGTGCCCAGAATTGAAGCTACAAGGCCATTCATTGCTAATCAAGGTAGCCAGTTGCAACATTCATACTTGCCTCAAACAGAAAAGAGTTCTTTCCTCCTCATTGGACATCATTCCACAGATATATAAACCCCACTTGCCTAGTTTCCAACAGACCTCACAACCTCTCGCGATGCCTGCCATAGATGTGGGTGAAACATCAGGAGAGAATGCTTCTGGAACATGGCCAAACCGCCTGGAAATCTCACAGCAACCCAGAGTCTGGATAGCCATTTGTTGGTTGTGCTTTGAGCATGTCCTGCTGCATAGCAGGAGGGGGTTGGAATGGATAGCACCTTTTTCACATTCAGATTTCCTTCTCTGGACTCTGTACCCGATTGTTTCCATCCGTGCCTCGAGGCCGTTACTGGATGGCTGCGTGCCAGCAGGTTGAGGGTGAATCCAGCAAAGACGGAGATCCTATGGCTGGGTCGACCGGGCAGTGGGGACATCCATCTGCCTACCCTGGATGGCAAGGCATTACGCCCGTCATCATTGGTAAAGAGTCTGGGAGTCCTTTTGGACCCTCTGCTGACAATGGAGGCCCAGCAGGTTGAGGGTGAATCCAGCATGAGCAAAACGGCCTTCTTTCACCTGCGGCAGGCTAGACGGCTGGCCCCTCCCTGTCCAGGGACAACCTAGCTACGGTGATCCAAGCCACGGTCATCTCAAGACTGGACTACTGTAACGCCCTCTACATTGGCCTCCCTCTGTCGGTGATCCGGAAGCTCAAGTTGGTACAAAATGCAGCTGCTCGGCTTCTTGCGGGAATTCCGATGAGATGCCACATAACACCAATCTTACTACAGCTGCATTGGTTATCCATTGAGCACCGGATCACTTTCAAAGTGGTGGTACTCACCTTTAAGGCCTTGCATGGTCTGGGGCCGATGTACCTGAGGGACCGCCTCACCCCCTACCAACCCCAGAGATCCCTCCGTTCTGAGGACCAAGATCTATTGGAAGTCCCCAGTGTCAAGACCTTGCGTCTAACAGCAACCAGACGCAGAGCCTTCACAGCAGTGGCACCATCACTCTGGAATACTTTGCCACCTGAAGTCCGTACCTTGCGGGACTTACCAGCTTTCCACAGGGCATGTCAGACATACCTGTTTCGACAGGCTTTTCATGTTTGATATGGCTGTTTTTAAATTGTTTTAAATTGCTTTTAAATTTTGTTAGATTTTAGCCCGTTCTTGTAAGCCGCTCCGAGCCCCAGGGGAGTGGCGGCATATAAGTTCGAATAATAAATATATAAATAAGATATCAATTAGTAGGACAGGGTAGATAATATATCACATTAAATGGGTGCAGGTTTCTTTTCCCTGTGGGGCTTTTCTGCAAACTTCCAAGTTGCGGGTCGTGATTCATGACTTGGCTGCCTCTCGCATGCGCTTTCGCTGCTTGACCACTAATTCCTCCTTTCTTTCTTTCTCTCTTCCTGCTTCCTTCCTTTCTCTGGCCTCCCTGCCTTCCTTCTCCATCTCCCTTCCGCTTTGGGAACAGTCGCTGAAAGTGAAACAACAGGCAACAGGACGGCACCGGCAGAGGATTCGAACCCGGGACCTGCTTGACCAATTTGGTGACCCCATGTGCCTTTGAGCGAGGATGTTGCCTGAGCCGCTGAGCCTTTCCACAAGGCGATGGAGAGACACTCCTAAGGCGACATATCTCTCTCCGCCATCTTTCATTGCGCCCTCTGGTCTTTCCTTCCAGTTTCCACTATCACTGTAGGCTTGGAATCAATTACCTTTTCCCTACAAAGACCTGCTCTTAATTCTGGAACTAGAAAGAAAGAAAAGCGGAAAGTCTCATTCAATGCATGGCATGGAACAACGCACAAGGAGGGGGCATTTAAACTATCTGCTGCATCGACCTGGTGTCCTCATTTGCTGCACTCCAAATCTCTCTGCTTACAAATGAAAATCATTTTTTTCCAAGGCTTGGTTGAATCTATTGCTTTCCAAAGGGTGAAATGGTTGCCCAGCTTTTCCTCTTCACTCCGCTCTGCTTATATTTTTCTTTCCATGCCAAAAATCAAGGTTCAAGGGGGTTTCTTTGAGGGTCTCCCAAATTCAACATACAGGAAAGCATCCCTAGATAAATGGTAATCTATATAAATAAAAATGTCATGTTCGTTTGTGGGATTAACAGAACTCAAAAACCACCAGACGAATTGACACCAAATTTGGACACAAGACACCTAACAACCCAATGTATGTCCTTCACTCATAAAAACACTGAAAAAYACAGCAGAATGGACTTAAAAAGCCCCCAAAAAGCTAAATGACGAAAAGGTAAATGACAATACAGAAAAAAGGGAAGAAAAAGGGAGGGAAAGAAAGAAGGAAAGGGAGAAGGAAGCATRGAAGCAAAGAGAAAAGGAAGGAAGGAAAGAGGTAGAGAAGGAAGAAAGGAGAGAAAGAGGGAGGGCAAGAAAAAGGGAAAGGAAGGAAAGTTAGAGAAGGAAAGAAGGGGAGAAGGAAAGAAAAAAGGGAAAGAAGGAAGGAAAGTGGGAGCGAAGGAAAGGGGGAAGATGTAAAGAAAGAAGGAAAGAAAGAAAGAAAGAAAGAAAGAAAGAAAGAAAGAAAGAAAGAAAGAAAGAAAGAAAGAAAGAAAGAGAGGGAAGGAAAGAGAGAAGAAAGAAAAGAGACAGCAGAAGAGAAAGAAAAAGGGGGAAGGAAGGAAAGAGATAGAGAAAGAAGGAAGAAGAGAGGGAAAGACGGGAAGGAAGGAAGGAAGGAAGGAAGGAAGGAAGGAAGGAAGGAAGGAAGGAAGGAGTGAAGGAAGGAGAGAAAGAGGGAAGGTTGGCCACAGCAAAGCATGGTGGGTACAGCTAGTCTATATAAATAAAAATGTAATGTTCGTTTGTGGGATTAACATAACTCAAAAACCACTGGACGAATTGACACCAAATTTGGACACAAGACACCTGTCAGGCCAACAAATGACCATCACTCATAAAAACACTGAAAAACACAGCGGAAGGGACTTAAAAAGCCAAAAAAGCAAAAAGACGCAACAGTGCATGCGCAAAAATGACTCCCCTAGCAAATGAAACACACAATAGT